TCTTTTACTCGAAATGGAAGTAATCCCAACAAAAAATATTATTCCCTTTTGAGTAGGTTTTCGCGTCTACCAGTAGATCGGATATAGTTGAGCTGTGTTCAGCATATTTCGTTCAAGTGAATGAACGACTGGTAGTTGAGGTCTCCCGCAATCATATGAGTCGACCTTAATTTTCCAATGAACCTTGCATGCCCTTGCTTCCCATAAGCAATTCCCATGGCCTATGGGAAAGTGAGGCTATGTGAAATTCACTGGAAACATCTTGTATACTCATGTAATTGTAGGAAAATTCAATTATCAGTCTTTCATATCCTTAAACCAAATAGGGTGAAAATGGCTCAAATATCTGATTTACGAATAGTCTCGAAGACCTACTAAAAACAATATATAAGTAATGTCGTTGATTGGTAAAGCAAATATAAGTTTACTTTGAAAACATGAAGACCAATATGTTGTGGCCTCTGGTATAGTCGCAGTCTCCTTTCGATTTATAGCATATTTCGTTTAAGCCAATGAAGGACTGGTAGTTGAGGTTTCCTGCAATCATATGAGTCGACCTTAAGTTTCCAGTGAACCTCGCATGCCCTTGCTTCCGATAAGGAATTCTCATGGCCTATGGGAAAGCAAGGCTATGTGAAATTCACTGGAAACATCTTGTTTACTCATGTAATTATGGGAAAATTCAACTATCAGTCTTTCATCTTCTCAAACCAAATCGGGTGAGCATGTCTTAAATATCTGTTTTACGAATATTCTCGATGACCTACTCAAAACAAAAATAAGTAATGTCATTGATTGCTAAAGCAAATATAAGTTTGTTTTGAAAACATGAAGACCAAGATGTCGTGGTCTCTGGTATGGTCGCAGTCTCATTTCGATTGATAGAAGTGACTTGACCTCGTTGTTGCAACTTGGTCTTATTGTCAGGGAGACTTAGTGGAACGCACCTAGTTCGAAGTAGTTATCATAATTTACGGCATCAGACAGTGGACATTTTAGAATGTGCCAAGTCCACTGTCTGATGTGGCAGACGACTTCGGACTAGGTGCGTTCCACTAAGTCGCCCTGACAACAAGATCAAGTTGCGAGAACTAGGCCAGCCCACTTCTATAAGTTTGCTTTGCCTACAATCACACCACGGAATGTTACATTGGAAAAATGCCTGACCGTTCTTGAAATTCACATCTACCCTATGACCTAAAAATACTCGTGGAAATGTGGGGTAATGGTAAATATGTCGAGATTATACGCTGAAAGTTCATGGTTCAAGTCCAGCTGGAGGTGATGATAAGACCTTTGCTAAGTGAAGACTACACTCCACCATGTACGAGAATACTGTTTAGGGAAATCAAGCCTATGTGGAATTCAATGTAAGCATCATGTCTACTCATATAATTGCGAGAAAAGCCAACTACCAGTCCTTCATCCCCCTAAACGAAATAGGGTAAACACAGCTGAAACAGGATTCTTTTTCGAGACTAACACTAGATCATATATATAAGGTGAAAAGGTAGTTGAAGTTCGCCATTATCATCATACATTACGTGTGTTAATTCGTAAAGTATAAAGTCTCGCACTGACGTTGTCTGCCATGATAGCCTAGCACAGAGCTAAGACACATTCTTGTCAAAGCCTCAAGTTATTACTATGTCAAGAAGACTGACCTGCTTTCTTCTATATGATATATATATATATATATATACTCATTGCGAGAACAATTAAGGATATAAACGTATATAGAAAGGTTTGATTAATTCACGTATGCTCGAGTGTGTCTGTGTATATGTATGCTATGATATGTACGCAAAACCGGTCATAACTCAGAGTAATTAGAAAGAGCTTAACGTCAGCCCCGAGTCATCAAGGATTAATGACCCAAAGAAAAAAGAACGACTGAGATTTCGTTAGTCGGTAAGTAGTCATGTTGAATTAATGAGATATAAGCCTGTACGCGTGAAAGTCAGGCTATGAAAGCCATAGTCCGAATCCGTCAGTCTGGGTTATTAAGGAGAAGCATAGCTGGGATTTCGTAGTCTTCCACGCCTGTTTTGGTTGGTGAACT